AGCAAGGGAATGAAACAAAAGGTACTCAAGTTCATGAAGAACAAAGCAATGTTCGGGCCAATATTTTAGTTGCCAAAAAAAAAAGGTTTTATAAATAAAAATAATAGTTTTTTTTTATACCAAAAATTCAATGAAATGTGTTGTAGGGGAACTCGACAGTGATACGCAGAAAACAATGGTTTTGCCAAGATGTGGTGTCAAAGACAAAGTAGGAACCGGAGACAATAGAGCGAAAAGATATGCATTACAAGGTATGTAAAACATGAACTCCAACACACCACATTATCACCTTCTGAAGTTGCCAAAATGATAGTCACATAATATTTTCAATATAGTCTTCATTCCAATAATGTTTCCATATACAAAGAATATTCAAAAAATAAGGTGAATTTTCAATCAGCAACTTTTCAATTTTTTCATTTTGGTACACTCGTTTGGAACATATGTTCATAGTTTTAGCTGTTCATCAGATTCAGTTTGTTGGTGGTATGAATTCCAAAATCCTTATATCTTGCGCATGCCTGATGCTCTCTTGTTATGCCGTCATCTTTGTTTTTATCAAATTTATTATCCCTTCATTTGATGTGCTTTACGTCACAATCCGTCTTCATATCATCTGAGCCAAGTTGAGGACCTATTCAAAGACCAATTCGATGACCAATTCGAAAATCAACTCAAGGGCCAAACCGGGGAGCAAATCACCATCGGACTATTTTTTTTGCGCTCAAAAACATTCGAAATGTTGACAGTGGCATATGGTGATTGTACTCCGAGTCAGAAAAATGTTTACAAGTGGTGAAAGCTTTAGACTTTTTTCTGTTCCTGAGATTAAAGAGACCCATGAAAGAACGGCGTTTTGCGACTATTGAGGAGATAAAAATTGATTCGCTGAGAGATACCAAAGACTGCTTCGAGTATTTTTTGAGAAAAATGAAAATTCACCTTATTTTCTCAACATACTTCGTAGGTACTGATAATAGGAAGAAATATGTCATGAGTAAATTTGTTTCTTGGATTCTACCGCAGTGTGTACTGAACTAATCTGATATATATGTTTCCCAAATGTTGCAACTGTCTGAATCAAAACGAGTTTCTCACTTTGAGAGTGGCATTTACTATTCATTTCGACTTGGATGAATGGAGTTAGATCGTGCTCTTATCTCAGATTACGGATAACTTAAAGGGATTTAGTTTCAGTTTCAACCTCAAATGGTGATAATGTCAGCTGTATACATAATTGAAATCAGAGGGCCTAGAATACTTCCTTGTGGCACACTGATTCATCTGTAAATCATTTCAATATGTTTTATTCAAAACTATTTTTTGTATTCTCTCTGTGACACGCGCTCTCACAAATTTTGTAATGACAGTAAATTGTGATTGATAATATCGAATATATTGAAGCAATCAAGAATAAATAGTTACTGCTGTTAGATTCTACTTATCCAATTATCGAAAACGTTCAAAGATTTGTTTATAATTATCGGTTCGAGATACTGCAAAATGATTTGTTGATACGAGAAATTGTTGATTTGCGAGCTGGAACTGTTTTCAATTATTTCTGACAAACATGGCGGAATGCTAAGTTTTCTAAGGTCTGAAAACTCCTGCGAGTTAACAACTGCTTAGAGAGATTTTTTCTGAGATCGGATTTTTTTTCAATACACAAGTTTATGATATTGCCACTGAAATATTTTTGAAAATTCTTCTGTAGATTTGACTAGAGATTACATCAAAAGCGAAAACAAAAATAATTCACAGGCTTCCCACAACTATTGATTGAAATGGTTTTACAGTGTATACAGAAAGTATACCGGAGATTGAAACGTGAGTTTAAAAAGTCCAGCAGAATGACCGATTATTTCATTCAAAAAACTTGGTGGAGCATGATTCCTGGAGTGAAACAATAATTTCAATGCAGTAACCGAACTTTATTTCCTCCAAGAACAAATCACCGATACGATTTTTCATACAGGTTCGATAGCGTTAAAAATTGTTGAATCGAAATAAACTACATGACCAGAATGTGGTATCCAAAGTTGAAATTGAAGTAAACGTCTAAACAACGGGCTCTTATTACTATCACTTCATATCACTCATAAACTGCGGAATGGGCTTTCATACAGTTTTCCACAGTGACTGACTGAAGAGGAAAGTTGAACTTTGAACATGTTATTCTTGCAAAGTCGGGGCGATGATGCTACCAGTTTAAAGCCGGAGAACTTTCGTCGAAAACACTGCGGGAATTCTTTGTAATAAAACAAAATAATCCATTACATATTGTTCTCTTTTTATAGGCTGCAAAAAAATCCGCGATGGCATATGTCTATCTTCCAAGGATATTTTTTTATGTTTGAAATAATGAACACATATAATATGGTAATTGGAGAGCTATTTAAACGGATACGATATCAGGCACTATGAAATCAAATACTTAGTCATTTCAAGCACTCCATGCACATTAGAATTGCTCTTTTCACCATATAATCTGAATTCTTTTCAGGGGGGGTTTGTCTTGGGAGTTATCGCAAAATGTCTCGGGTGTTGTTACAGAATTAAAACAATTGTAGGATAAAATGAATTCAAGGGGCTTCATAAACCGACGCGGCACGCATGATGAAGAAAAGTTGCGATTGCGTTGGTCTTTTTACGTAGTGAATCACCTTGAAGGTTGGAGTCGCATTTTTGTTGGGTGTCTTTTGGTAACAAGGTACCTATTTCGAAATTGAAATGAACAATGTGGAAAATACTTTGGTTTGAATTTTATCGAAGGTCATTATTATTAGTTATACATGCGGGTGAGATACTAGGACTGAAAAATAGAGTGGGCATATACGCTCTGCCACTTTGTGGAGACGTGTTGGGTCTCTAATTAATAAAAAACCATACAAAAAAAATACTATCATTACGATTGGGGGACAAATATTTCCCAGGACTATCAAAATAATCTCGATTTGTTTTGACTATATAATTTCTTGTTCATTTTTCGTTTCTAGTTTTCAAGTAGTCAGTGACAAAGAGCTTATTATGAAAATAGCGAAATAAAACTCATTTGATTAATAAATTAAAACATAAACTCCGTAAAAATAAAGTTATTACCGATTCAGTGATATTCTGTTGGGAATCGATATCATAATTACAAGAAATTATATTCATTTAGTCAACCTTATTTGCAATTCAGTATTGTTCAACTTCGACTATTCCTAATAAATTCCTACAACAGTAAATAATTTCCATTAGAAAGTAATTCTCTTCATGAGTCATTCATATATATGTGAATGAGTCATAAAATTATCGTACAAACTTAGTACTTGGTCAAAAGTATGAAAGTGTTTTTTCAATGTCTGCAATAAATTAATATGAACAATGTGACAGTTGCTGGCGAATTTGTGTTGTATATCCTGATCAATCTTACTCGTATCTAAATATTAACCTTGATGTCCATGGTCTAATTAGTAACTGGATTCAATTTATCCCAAAATGAAACAAATTTGTTATGAAACTGATGATTTCATAGCGAATGATTTTGAAAGAGATGTTGGTATACTTCAAGGAACACTTTTTGGCCTGTTGGTTTTAGAGGGCAACGGAAAATTCTGATAACAATTATCTTTTTAGACAGATCAAAGAAAGATGTGAATATACTGCATTTCCAAACATTATTGGTAGAAACTGAAATCACACGTCAATAAATGAAATTATATAAACAGATCAATAATCACTTATTTTGCAACAGGTAGCAGATGGAAAGTGAAAGACCTCACTTACAAGATATCCAAATATCCCAGCAAACTGAAGCGCGCAGAGGTAGACAAAGAAATTCAAAGGGCTTTCGATGTTTGGACGGGATATACTGATCTGACGTTCACCCCAAAAAGTGGACAGGTTCACATCGAAATCAGATTTGAATACGGTGAACACGGTGATGGTGATCCATTCGATGGACCTGGAGGTACCTTAGCTCACGCATACTTTCCAGTAAGTAGAAATACGAAATTCTAATAACACATCTGACCGATTTATCTGATTGAGACATGTTTACGTCTCAACTAGAGCTGTTGCAGAATTCAAAGTCAGAGGCAAGATATCGAGCAGTGATTTGAAAGAATACTTCGAAAACTTAAAAATGGGCAAAATAAAATACAGAAACTAATACATTTTCCAAACAGATCTATCAGCTACCTCCATTGTTTTATTGCAATTCATGTCTCCGACCGTTGAAGCTCATGTTTTTATGTAATAGAAAGTTATCCACTGAACTCAAATCCCTAAAGATATGCTGGACTTTCAGGTTTTCGGAGGTGATGCCCATTTCGACGCATCTGAAGCTTGGTCCATAAACAGCTACAAGGGAACGAACTTATTCCAAGTGGCAGCTCACGAATTCGGACATTCTCTCGGTCTGAGTCACTCCGACGTCAGACAGGCACTCATGGCACCGTTCTACAGAGGCTATGACCCAGTTTTCGACTTGGACACCGACGACATCGAAGGTATCCAGGCACTTTATGGAAAGAAAACCATGAAAACTGGACCAAGATTTGGTGATGATGACGATCAAGACGGTGGGTTCGACGGAAGCCACGACGTCCCAAGCAAAACTCCCAGTTCAGCAGATCACAGTTTGTGCGATGATCCCAAATTCGATACAATTTTCAATTCAGCGGAAGGATATACCTACGTGTTCAAGGGTGAAAAATACTGGAAACTCACCGAAAATAGCGTAGCGCCTGGATACCCAAAACTGATTTCTGATAATTGGATCGGGTTGCCGGGCAATATAGATGCGTCTTTCACTTACAAGAATGGAAAGACTTACTTCTTCAAAGGATCCAAGTACTGGAGGTGAGAGTATTGTACACAACCATACCTTCAAGTATAAACGGGCTGAATTTTCTCTAGGTACAAGGGCAAGAGAGTTGATGGTTTATACCCAAAAGAGATTTCCGAAGGCTTCACTGGAATTCCTGATGATCTGGATGCCTCTATGGTATGGAGCGGAAACGGAAAAATATACTTCTTCAAAGGCAGCAAATTTTGGAGGTTTGATCCCTCCCAAAGACCTCCCGTCAAGAGTACATACCCCAAACCCATTTCCAACTGGGATGGTGTTCCAAATAATCTCAATGCAGTTTTCCAGTGGACCAACGGTTATACTTATTTCTTCAAAGATAATGCGTACTATAGGTAAATTCCAAACTCTCAGCAACTTCATCAAAACAACTACGAACATGTGTTGACTGTTTCCTCTTGTTTAGGTTCAACGATAGGGCCTTTGCCGTAGATGCAACGACACCTGCTTTTCCAAGGTCGTCAGCCTATTGGTGGTTCGGGTGTAAAGAAGCTCCTTCTGGAACGATTGGAACGAGTAAGTCTTCAGGATTGTTGATTGATGAAGAGAGCTCGCGGGATAACCAATTTGGATCTGCCCATAATGACAGTGATACAGGTAGGGTTTAGTTTTGTGTCACCATGGCCCATTACAACGGTAGCAATACCCAAATGCATCAAATTTTGAAAAACCTATGATCGAAAAAAAAACAATGTTGTGCTGAAAACCTAACGGAATCAGGTTGTGGATTGAAAACTCATGTACCACTGTTCTCTTATGGAACTATCGAGTTAGGTCTGAAAGAATCAATATAAACCATCAGAGACAGAGTTTTTCAGCGAGAACTTCTTAGTTTCACATATAGTCAGTGGGTATACTCGAAGACAGGCTATAAATCAAATTATCTAAGAACAATTCGTTCAGGCCAGTCTCATCTCCCTACACAGTAGGTTAATGGACTGACACCTCTCAGAAACCAACTACTCCCCTGGCTAATACCACGAAGGTCGTTGGATTATATCCGACTGGTGTCAGTGCAGGATTCTTCACAGAAGTTATTCCTGCATATGCTGTTGGCGGTACAACTGCCGCAATATATTTTCAATTATTGGAACACACTTGCAAACCGGTTTCGGACTGTTTGGCCACTCGTCAGTGCAAGGTAGTGTATATCATCAACATAAAGTCGATGATTTCCGATAATTGAAAATCGAATTCCGTCAGAGTAACATTCCTCGAACTAAGCTGAAGCATACAACAAACAACAGGTTTGTCGTCGCCCCATCTGCCTGTGAACGAGGTAACCAACTGCATATCCGGAATTTGCCCAATTCCTCGTATAAGGAAAGAAAACTTTCACATATAGTCAGTGGGCATGCTTGAAGACTGGCTATAAATCAAATTATGTAAGAACAATTCGTTCAGGCCTACTGTGTAGGGAGATGAGACTGACCTATAAATCAAATTATGTAAGAACAATTCGTTCAGGCCTACTGTGTAGGCCTGAACTGGCTATAAATCAAATTATGTAAGAACAATTCGTTCAGGCCTACTGTGTAGGGAGATGAGACTGACCTGAACGAATTGTTCTTAGATAATTTGATTTATAGCCAGTCTTCAAGTATGCCCACTGACTATATGTGAAAGTTTTCTTTCCTTATATGAAGAATTGGTCAAATTTCAGATATGCAGTTGGTTACCTCCTTCACTACCTTGCACTGACGAGTGGCCAAACAGCCCGAAACCTGTCTGTGTGTTCTAATAATTGAAAATCTATTGCAGCAGTTGAATCGACAAGAGCATATATAGGAACAACTTCAGTGAAAAATCCTTCACTGACATCTGTTCGAATATAATTCAACGCCCCTCTTGGTATTAGCCAGGGGAGTAGTTCTTTTCTGATAGGTGTCAGTCCATTAACATCTACATTGCAGGGAGTTGAGACTGGCATGAACGAATTGTTTCTTTAGATGATTTGATTTATTTTTCTGTCAATCCCATAGATTGCAACTTTCCATGCTTACTTCAGTCAAGGATACAACTGATTTGGAATTCACACATAATTATGAACTCTTCTTCGGACAAATATAATTGAATGAAACACGAAGTACTTCAGAAAGTTATGAATCAATTCAATTCATGGCATAACAAACTTGATTCGAATTAGATTCAAAGTGGCAATATTGAAAATAATGCTATCAAAAATATTTTTAAGAGAATAGCACTTTTGCTGTCTTCAAAAATACAATTGTTTCTATTATCACCACTTTAATCACATGCCTACCACCCATCAAATATATACATTGCATCATCAACTGATGTGAAGGTACAGAAGAAGCCTTCGAAATTTTTTTCAGAAGAGGCTAACATCCATCTATCATGAATAAATTTGACATTTCTCATCAATGCTTGTGAAAAACATGAAAATTTCCCAGGGAAATGAAGCTGGTAATAGGCTTACTATTTTTTTTGAATTGATGAAACGGTGCAGCTGAAAACTTCAATAATCAATCATCTGTCAGACTATGAATGCCGAAAAAATAACATTCATCAAACATAAAGTTCCAGCTGATTTTCAACAATTTTACGTAATTACACGAGAAATACCACTTCATTTCCCGTAATCTAGATAATCTTGGGGAAACCGCATCATTTTCATCTCCCCTAATGCAGGAATTGGACTAAACCCACCTCAGTCATATCGTATTCTACAATGAAAATTTTATCAAACATCCTAACGCAAATGAAATAAGCTCTCTTCATCAAGTATGTATGCCATCCATTTAGATTTTCCGCTTTTAACTGCATGCTTTAACACTTCGTGCTTACATCACCATTATTAAACGCAATGTCCTAATCAAAATAATGCTCCGAGGTTGCAGTAGAGCGTTGGTTTGGAGGTGTTTACAAAGTGTCATCAAATACAGTTTTGGATGTAAAAGAGTATACATTTTGAAAACGGTGACGTTTTGAAATCACTCATTCCATTGAGCATTCAACTAACATCACAGTCAGTGAATAGAATGTTTGCACGCAGAGTTGTAATGTTTTGTTGCACGGGCATGCACTTGGAATATGTGCATTGATGTCATACAAATAAGAGTTAAGTGATAGAGTCTTCGATATCAAATGATTTTAGAAAAATTCCTAGTGCGATCAGAACAGAAATATAATCAATGGTTGTATAATTTTCACCAAGACTTTCGATAATAGTAAAATTTACTATGAAAGTCTTTCAAGTATTTCCATAGAAAATTTTATTTAATTCTCAATCCTTGAGAACTACAAATATGTAGCTCCGAAGTTGACATTCATTTTTGGTGGCTTTTTGGAAACTGCAACTATCGCTACTGCTAAACAGTCGGCAACCTGTAAAAAAAAGTATTTTGTACAAAACTCTCATCTAATCAAACACTGAAACTAAAGTATTGGTTTATCATTACAAGGCCTTTGGTTGGCCAGTGATATTACATTGACTGCGATATTACACTTCATTTCAGTGGAATTTGAGTCAAATTTCGATTGTAGGAAGCGTTTCTACATATTATACAACAAGATTCCACAGAAATTTTCAGTTGCTGCCTTCTTTGCAAGGACATTAGCTTTCTCAGTTCAGCAAACTCCCAACCTAGTACCCATATCAAGTTCATATCTTGTCAGCAGCTCATTCTACCTGAAAGATGGTTTGAGTGTTTCCAATGATTTGGAAAACTGACAATCATGCATGAACTCTTGCATATACCTTGGACTCAAATAAATATTACTGGAGTTTTTCCCAACACCAAACCGTTATTTTAACACCTCGACACGTGTTTCGATCACCAAGTGATCATTTTCAAGATCGAAACACGTGTCGAGGTGTTAAAATAACGGTTTGGTGTTGGGAAAAAACTCCAGTAGTATTCATTACTGCACCAAAAGTTCCAAACAGTGCACAAGTATCTTGGACTTATCAATGTCCCACACCAAAGCCTTCCTACTCAATTGAGGCTCGTATAATGCATCTATCTAGCAACTGTCAAACTTCATCTTTGAACCGTGCCTGTCACAAAGGTATTCATTATCATCTATTTGGCAGCTGTCAAACTTTATCTAGAAATTGTGCCTAACTATCATACAGCCATTGGTGAAAGATTCAGCATCACTTCTGAAGCAGCTGAGGAACATTTTGAAATTCTCCACATGATACCCAAACAGACGAGTTTTTATACTCTCTGTCACTCAATTTACTCTGACGGTTGTTCCTTTTTTTGCCACCCTATTTATGAGGCTATGATGATCGTTTAATTTGACAAGGAAGTTTGTTTTCAAACCCTATGTTGATCCAAATATTCTACGGCTTATCCAGGTTGTCGCTGTAGCTTTGCAAAGGAAATTGTCCAAATATATTTCCATAGAAAAAGATCTTCAATCACCTCAATAATTTATCAGTTATTAGTGAAATAACCGATTTCATTATCGGTCAATTTCCTATTTCATTATCGGTCAATTTCAGCCCCAATGCAGTGAAGGTGAGTTCTATATATGAAACCTCATTTCTTTTAAAAATGCTGCAGTACAAAATTCAAGTGTCTGATAATTTCTACGTTGTAAAGTACTTCTTTCAGATTTATCGTTTCCCTTCAATGCCTCAGTAGCATAAATCATGTCAAAAATTCTTGCTACTTCCTAGTTATAGCAAGGTTGGTGTGTCAAGACATCAGAGTCTCATTGACTATCATAAATGTCAAAGAGCTCTGTTGGTTTCTTCAGCTTCCTTTGGTTGATATATTAGTATTGACGAATTGATTACGCTCGTTTGACTATTTGCTTGTTTTAAGTGGTTGAGCTCTGTTGGTTTCTTCAGCTTCCTTTGGTTGATATGTTAGTATTGACGAATTGATTACGCTCGTTTGACTATTTGCTTGTTTTAAGTGGTTGAGCTCTGTTGGTTTCTTCAGCTTCCTTTGGTTGATATGTTAGTATTAACGAATTAATTACGCTCGTTTGACTATTTGCTTGTTTTAAGTGGTTGATCTCTGTTTTTTTCTTCAGCTTCCTTTGGTTGATATGTTAGTATTGATGAATTGATTACGCTCGTTTGACTATTTGCTTGTTTCAAGTGGTTGAACACTTTTGACTGAGTTAGCAGCCAATACTCTTTGAGATTTGACATGATGACAACGCGGGTTAATGAAGAATATCGAAACATCCTTAAATAAATTAGAAACCAGAAATAATGTCCCAATACTCTGAAAAACTAGTTGAAAAACTATTATCAGTATGATTATTTGAGTAAAAATATTATCAAGGTTAGTTTGAGTAATAATATGATTTTCAAGTATTCTGAACACTTATCATGGCTGATGCATTGATTCAGAAATGATCAAAATCATCCATGTTCTTGTGACAGATTTAAGAACAAAAAAAAAGTCTGCCTTGAGAAACTTTAGTCACGGGCTAACTTTATATTGTATTTTTTCAAAATGTAAAGGGTATCCCGGTTTCTCTAATCAATTTTGGAATTTATCTAAAATCATCTGAAAACGAATAGTTTTGGCTGAAACAATTTGAGCTTTCTGATTATTCGTAGATGTATTAGTAGTTTGTATAATGTACAGCAATGTTGTTCAGTATTTGTTTATCTTATTGTGAACGCCTATTACAGAACACTACCGACGATTCCCTAGGCAGTGAAGCCCAGCTGCAAACCATTTTTATAAGTATGTGCTGTCTTTCATTTATCGTTAGCTTTCAATATATTCTAGGAACAAAAAAGTGGCCTTACGCTCTTTGTTGAATTTCAATCAGTATCGAAAAATGTTCTTTCGTCATCATCCAAACAAAAATGTTAGATAACATATATAATCCCTGTTGTTTAGTACCATTCTTCAAAAGATGTATAAAAGCTTCGGAATGGGACAAAATGGGACAATGTTACATTGATGAGAAGTTCGTCATATGACAGCACAGGGACACTTGTATATCTGAAACATCGCCTTCGTGGATGTACTAGTGAACAGATCTGAAAATGGGATACATTGGGTTATATAGTGTACAGAAAACCAACGCAACCAGGCAGGTACCTGAATGAGTCACAACCACATGCTGCGGGGCCCAACGCATCTATGAACCCAAATGGCTTCACGAGGAGTTCAATCATTTTAAAAATGCTTTCAAAAGGAATGGGTGTAGTGCAGCTGATTCATAGCGGCAATACGATCCAGAGAAAAGAATGCTGAGACAAGTCCAAATAGGTCTATCAATGGAAAAGCTTTCCTACCATATAGGAAGAATGTTAACGATCGCTTCAGGAGAGTTCTGTAAAAACAACATATAATTGATATTCTACCCAAGGAAAACCATCAGAGTTCACGGTCAGCTAATAGACTTGTGCGCATTGCCAATTGCACAAATCAATTTAATGCACAGTGCAACAGACTATTGGTCGACACTGACTTTATGCCTCCAACTGTCAACTACAAACTGCCTTATAAAATACTGTTCCCGAGTAGAGAGGACTGGATCCTTTGGGAGAAGGAAATATTAAGAGCAGATAGTTGTTGGTTCACAGATGGATCAAAAACACCTTTCGGTTCTGGTGCAGGTGTTTTTAGTCGCAGTCCCAGGCCAGAGATATCAACGCTATTGTATTCTGAGCGGAGAGATTGAAAGAATCCAACCTCATACACAAGTCAATAAAAATATTCTCGGCAGTGAAGCGGCATTGGAAGCTCTCGGCTCCTATACCGAGCAACGTCTGAATTGGTAGCAAATTGGCAAAAACCAACTCTCTATCTATAGGAAGACATTTTCTCTGGTCTAGATTCCTGGAAATACTGGCCTGGAAGGCGATGAGGCTGCTGACTCCCTTGCAAAGGAGGGTGCTGCAGGCAGCTTCAGCGGACTTCTACTTGATTGCTTTCATGGGCAATAGGAAAGAAGATAAGCCCAAAACCAATAGAATGGATTCGGAGACTCGAACCAATTCTGTGGTATCGACTTTGGTCGTTGCCTTTGAAAAGGTCTATCACGGCCGTAGACGGCAGGCATAAAACCTGCAGATCATGGACAACAAAAAAGCTTTGATAGCTGCTATATTTTAGCAGAAGTCTGATATATTTCTAATGAGATGTCTTTGTGTATTTTATGATGATTCTTTTTTTCATCTGATTCTCCAGCTCTGGATATTTTTCATCTCTCGAATGTAAATTAACCTACAGGCCACTTTTTTGTTTCTATCATTAGATGTACCGAATAAAATTGTTTTTGCCCCCTCATCTTGAAGGAGTGGAATCTATATCATTAATACTTTGATGGTGCTGAATACGATTCCACACCTGCAGATTTATCATTGCATGAAACTGTTTTGTCGTAAAACAAAAATAACCACAGTGTCCTCGTTTCCCGTCGCACTTATTTTTGTTTTATAAATACACCAAATGAACCGTCATTGTATTGTTTTCAAAATAACTGATAAATTTTTTTCTAGGTGACCACCACGAAATGTCAGAACAACCTCCTTCGGACTTTTCAAGGTCCAATCAAGATGGCGGCGGTAGTTCCGGCAGTCGATCCGCCGCATCATCATTCGCTTTAACATCACTAGTGACAATTGTGGCGACGTATTTCACTAGTGCGTTATAGAGAATACGAAGTGATATTCTTTCGTTTCATAAACGAAGCGCTTTGACTGAGACTCTTACTGATGTGTGATTTCTTTTATTTAGTTTTAAGGGACGATTTATTGTAGCTGAAGAATCTGTTGAAGCCAAATAATGATCATAATTCATTTCTTCGACCTCCGGAGGTTGAAAAAGTGATTTTTGATCATGACATTTTCTAATTTATTGTAATAAAGGCCTCTGCTAGAATAGTATCATGAAATATTTCTGATTTTTTTCATGTAATTGAAAAGTAAAAAGAAAAAAGCATATTCACGGGTTGGGAAAATGAAGAGTTTGATCTGAATTCTTAAAAACTAAAAAGTCACCATTGTTACATAAAAATTCACTATTATTACCACTTTTGAAAACACTTTCCCAACACCAGAACGAAAATTACGGTTTCTCGGTCTCTGCCTGTGAGTTTTGTTAGTTTCTCAATCTCAGTTGGTGAATATGTTAGATTATCCATCTATAAAAACAAATTCCTGAAGGAATCGATATTGAAACTATCAAGTGAAATTTTGTTCAATTTGATGAAAAAAAAGAGTGGGATTCTGAATTAAAATACGGAATATGATGAAATTCTACAAGAATATCCTAATTCTCAAATGAAATTTGGATTTCAATGTTTCGAAATAGTGAAATAATAATAAATTATAATCAAACTGATTACTCTCCGTCCAATTCATTCAAAATCACTTCTTCTTCTTCTCTTTTTTTATGGTCTTTGCTTCCCTTCGGCGCAGTAGACCAGTTAGGTTATGAGAATCATGCACTAGCGAAACCACTTTCAGAAAATAGTATAATTCTGGTAAATGTTAGAGGAATGGAATCATATGATAAAATTCAAATCGTGGCAGCAAACAGCTCTATAGGAAGTATTCAAATTTGAACGGATCTCTCTTACTTTCAATGTTAATAGTAATACGCCATTAGACCACCAAAGAAAGCGCACATTGTTTTTTGAAACTATATCTGCGAATATCTCTAGATTCTCGTAAAATGATAAACATTCTATAGAATCTTTGTTTGAGGACTCTTTGAACATTCGATCTGTGATACTCGTTAGCAATTGAGTAATTTTAGAACTTCTGTACCCCTCTCATGCATTATATTCATAATATTCATTCATTTTCAATATTACCCCACTTGCAAGATTTCTGAAGTTTCTAAAATTCTGTTTTGAAGAATTTATTATATTTTCTGAATTATCTGAAACCAAATAAGGTGAGACAGACAAAGTAGGAGTCGTTTAAATCATATCTGGTCTTATAGAATGGCCTATTTGTAATTATTGATTATTTATAGGTATTGATTATTGATAGGAATGGAAAAATCATATCTGGTCTTATAGAATGGCCTATTTGTAATTATTGATTATTTATAGGTATTGATTATTGATAGGAATGGAAAAATCCGTTGAATGAATGAAAATTTTCATGTAGAGATTGTCGTCGAAAATTATGCGATTTATTTGAGTGACGTTTTTAAATTATTGTCATTTTGAATTATTGTAATGTAATCAACATAAGTGAAATGCACAATTGGATTTGTATGAAATTAGGATATGACGTGAACATATTCTCATTCGTAATTGTCGTATTTACACTGCTATGAAAATAAACCAAAATATAAAACCATTATAGAAAAATTCAGCTGTTCCATATTCTGGTTATATTATGCATTGGTTTGTAATTCAATTGACGGAATATTCAATGATAGTCATTACGTCCCAGCTATGAACAAGTTATGTAAAACAATTGAACTTGATAAGCATTCACTTCAAGTATGTATCATCTTGTTTCAGTTGTTACTTATTTGGCAACATTTTCACAAATGAGTCGGAAATTATTATCATGGCCTATTCTAAATGGTATCAAATATGAGCATATCACTGTATATTTAAATTTGATATTACTATTATTGAAAAACCAAACGTATTCACTCTATTGATTTGTTATTAAAATTTCCAACAATAAATTATATTTTCCAGTGACAGTAGCCTCATTGCTTTTTTCCTGACAATTCTTATGGTAAAGATTACTCTTTTCTTCCATGTATTCTCAGTTATTGATATTGAACTTTTATCTTTACTGTAGTTATTACAGACACGTCCAAGGGCCAACCCTTCAATTGGAATTGAACTATGAAAACAATATCCAACTCATGACGTACTATACTTGTCTACTGTACTTCCGTGCTTACGCAAATCATTTTTAATTTCATTAGTTCGGACTTCCATTGTCTGATATTATATAAAATGATTTGAAATCCCTGAAGGAACTAATAAAAAAGAAGAATTAAAAAAATGGCTATGAATAACAACTATATTAGGCAAAACAAAACCTGGAATGAAATAACAGTGAAATAAAATGAAAGTAAAAATAGAAAAATTGAACAAAAATTAAAAATAAAAAGTTAAGAGATTCCAAGCCAAGTCACTTCACGACGATCTACAATCGTCTTCGGGTGATGACTGGACTAATTCCTCCGAGAGATGACTATTTATGGGTCATTCGAGTACTTACTTATCTCCGCTTTCCTTTTTCCGCTTCACCGATTTAGTGGGAGATGACCGTTTCGCGGGAGTTGGCCATTTTTCGCTTGATCGTAGGTTTCCATGTTTCGTATCTCTACGCTAGCTTGGCTGAATGCGGCTTTTTTGAATTTCCTCCTAAACCAATGTTCCTCCCTGTGTATGATCTCAGCTTGGGACCACTCGATGTTATGTTGATGGGTCTAAACATGCTCTGCTATTCCTGATTTGCTGGCCACCAAACGCAGACTGCGATTTCAAGAATTGCATTTACCGGATACCCTGTAAGTGCAGAAAATCCTATACCGGAGAAACTAAGAGGCCATTGAATGTTCGCATTGCCGAGCACAAGAAACACACACAGCGAGGGGAAACCAGAAAATCAGGAAAAGCAGCAGAGCATGTTTGAACCCATCAACATAACATTGAGTGGTCCTAAGCTGAGATCATACAAAGGGGGAAAAATTGGTTTAGGAAGGAATTCAAAGAAGCCGCATACATGTTGTCCAACAATGTATTCAGCCAAGCTAGCGAAGAGATACGCAACATATGGAAACCATATTCAAGCGAAAAATGGCCAACTCCCGCCAAATGGTCATCTCCCACTGAACCGACGAAGCGGAATAAGGAAAGCGGAGAAAAGTGAAAATACTCGAATGACCCATTAATAGTCATCTCTCCGAGAAATTAGTCCGGTCATCACGAAGACTATTGTGGATACTAACAATCTTTTGATGAATTGTTTGCTTGCAAAATTCTGCTTTGACAATGGTTCCTATTTGCACATCTAACACCTTTTTTAAGCGTTTCTATATTCTTTAATATAGTATTTGTGGAAGAATTCTCTATATCCTTCGTGAGTCAATGCTTCTATTTCCCGTTAAATATTGTGATTGAAAATGTTTTTTTGTAATTGATTCGTACGGTACCTACTGGAATAGCATTAAAAAACTATTTCAAACAATTGGAATATTACTATTGAGGTTAGGGACATGTCTTGCTTCTATTGCTACTTCCACGAGAAGTATTCGATTGCCTTAGACCGCCTGATTTCCCCGAGAATGCGTTAGGCGCATTATAGCTGCTCATCATTTCTCAATTCAACAATATCCTTTCCGAGATCGTTTATCCAAATATATGGATTCAATTCTAATATAACTTGCCACTATCGTACCTATCTCCTGAAATAATTTTTATAATGCTTGTATCTGCATAAAAAAATCGTCAATAAATTCGAAGACATATTTTTTCTTGTTTACGTTACACAAGATACCATTCGAAAGATCCAAAATCGACCAACTTTCTCGAATGTGAATCGAGTGTTCTGTCGAACGAAGGCCGCCCCCAGTAATTGCAGGTATCGCGCGACACGCGTCCTCCCCACGCTAGATAGCGCCGCGACGCGACGGGGTTAGAACGACCGAAGGAACCGTCGTCCGCGTGATGGTCACGGAAGGTTAATCGTGTCGAGCGAATGGTGGCGGAGACGCGAGGCGTCGTTTGTCGTTGCGGGGTGCGTCGCGAGCGAGCGAGGTGATATCGATCGCGCCGGCGCCCGTTTGCGCCGCCGCCAGCGTGCCAGTGTCGAGCGAGAGACGGCCGGCACAGCTTCGGCCCGGGCGGGGAGGACTGCGACCATCACCAACCACACCACATACACCTCTTCGAGTCAAGATGGCGGCGCTCCGCCGCGATGTTACAAGTGTTAGTAGCGCGACCAGTGTCTTAGAGTGAGTGATGTGAGATGTTCGGTGGGCCCTCCTGCTCCTCCTCCTCTTCCTCCTCCAGTGACGAGCATGCATCATGAGCGAGGATTGTGGGGGGCCCGCTTGGTGTTCCTGCCTTCATCAGCGGCAGCCTGGTAGCGGGCCCCGGAGGCACACCGACCCCGGGGGCACTCGGAGCCGCGAGGGGGGGCACTCCGGCCGCCCGCAGCGATGCTCCCGGTTCCCGTAGCCGCTGACGACCGAGCCGCCGTCGTCGCCACCGCACCCTGCCCCGCAGAATGCCCCGGGCCCCGTCATCGGGCCTGTCATCGCTGCTCCTGATGGCCGGCCTGGCGTTCGCCGCCACCACTACCTTCGTTACCACCGTTAACAACTCGCAACCGCTCGAGACCGCCGCCGTCGCCGCCGCCGACGACCTGCAGTTCGTCATCTCCGAATTCGCGACGGCTTCGCTTTCCTGTTCCTCGGCCTCCGAGGCGGCCGAGAGCCTCTGCCCGCCGCCCTGCCGCCTGCAGATGCAAAATACAGCCAATAGATCAACACAGTGCCTTTATTATTTGAAAGAATCGCACAAAGAAGAGGTGTGCGGCTCCGACGTGGCTCCCGAGCGCAGGCGTGACGTGCTGCACGGACTCCGGATGCGTCACTGCTGCGAACACGCCGTCGACGCGGCACTCCCAGAAGCCGCTTTCCACGGCGGCACACTCTGCCGCCGACTGCTGACAGCCCTCATCGAAGTGGACGACCTCGCCAGCAGGCTCGCCTGCGGCCACACGGAACTGCTCACCCGTTACGACTGTTCACAGAACTACTCCATTTCACACGACTGTAAACACTGCAAGGTAATCCTTTTCTATACATTATTTTTTTTGTAAAATAACACTTTGATTACACTGATGAAATTACAGAAAATCTCTCCTGTAAAGCCTAATCTACGCAGCAAAGTTCGAATAGGTACATAACCTAATAGGAACCCTCACTTTGTAAGGACTGCAAGGTGATACTTTTCTGTTCATTATTCTTCTTTAAAGCGAAACATTTAATTTACACTGATAACAGAGAAAAATCTTCTTTTAAGCCTAATATACTCATATTCGGATAGACACGTTGACATTCCTTGCGAAGACTGTACGGTAATCATTTTGTATACATTATTTACCTAATCTGGCCAACGATATTCAAGAACATAACCACTCAGAAACGTTTACAGGCCATGCAAAAAACTGCAAAGTAATCTTTTTCTATACATTAATTTCCTTTGTAGAGAAATACCTCAATTAGATTAATGACATTACAGAAAACCTCCTATAAAGACTAATATATGCAGCAAAACGCTGCAAAATAACTCATTCAGCTGAAGATCTCATAAATGATCATAACGAAGATAAGAAATGACATTTTAATGAATCTCAATCAATCTTCATAACAACACAAAGACTATATTCATGAGGACAAATGAGTGACCCCAAGAATCCAACTTAGTAGAATGTCATCCCTTCAAATAAAAATGTTTCCTTCCAGGCTCATTTTCTTCGGAAAAGATGCATCTTCATATGCCCAAAAAGGTATAAATCATCTTACGGATCCAACAAGAACATTCAATGCTGATGCAAGAGTCACCTTAGAAAGGCGCACGTGTACCAGCAATGAAAGGCAGTAATTCTTGCTCATCCAAGCATTTCCAATATAAACGCAACTCTGTCGGATATAAAGGGTTGATCGCTTTTTAGTGATATTAGTTGCCCCTACAATGAAAATTTTATCANTCAGGTACTCCTCAAGAAAATTACATGGGCTAGGTTTTGGTAATTTTTTTCAAAATAAAAAAGATTTCCTTCAATGGGCTCTACTCATAAAATTAACACTAGCCAAAAAAAAAATGAAGCTCCTAATGTTGCAGGATTTATTTAATGTTTTACAAACTGAAATAAAATAAATCAAAACATTACAGAGGTTAGAAATAAAAATTAAAAAAAAGTTTTTAATGCTTATTACAGCGTTAATGATTATTTTACGTAACTGTATGTGTGGCGTGTGGCATGCGTTTTCGTGTGTGCTTCTAGTTTGAATGTAGTAGTTTGTAATTTACCTTTGTAATTTAGCTCTTACTGACTATTCCTAGTACAATTGCCTAAAAAATTGTCAAACAGGTATATTAAGGATTTGATTTGATACACAAAATTTACCATTTCATTCAGAGATGAAAGTACTGGAAAACCTGGCGTGAAATGAATCCAAATTGAATCCCAACACACCAAGGATAATAACCAAAGCACCTTTGAAAATTATCCTGTTATGCCGTGCGATTTTGAACAACTTTTCCAGAGTCACCAAATAAAAAAGTTGGTATCCGTTTCGAGAAAAGCAATTCAGTGATAGTAAACAGTGAGTTTCAATTCTTCTATGGTTCCCTTTCAGTGGAAAAGCTTCATGAAGCAAGAGCCGAATCGATTTCTCTGCGAAACCCTTCATCATTTGGAAGGATCAATTGCAGCTTGAGAAATGGTTCTTATGCAGGTTCTGTGAAACATGGTCTTCCTTACGAATCAGTAGTCAGTTGTCCTGAAAAACTTGAGAATAAAATTGGATTACATAATTCAGACTTGCTACATGAATAGCATTTCACAAGTGTTGTTAATGACGAAGAATTTCAAAAACGAGGTTTTAGTGATTAAAAAGAACGAGGATGTTTCCTACTTATTCACCAAACTCAAATACCTGTTCATGCAGGTG